GTGATTATAAATCAGATGGAGATATGGAGGTAGACCAGGGATGTCAAACCCACCTGGACCTGTGGGCTGGATGAAGATCACTGGGCTCATCTATGGGCTATTAGGACCATGCTTCAGAGCCAGCGTGCAAGGCCAGTCTGGCATGGGTGCTGGATGCAGCACATGCTTTGGATCACCCCCCTATGCTGTGAGCAGTGCTCATGGTGCCAAATCCAGTCCACACACCAGACTGACTCCATGCAAAGACCCACAGGCCAGATCACAGGGCTCCACAGGCTGGATGTGGCCTGCAGGCCACATGTTTGATACCCCAGAAACAGACAATTCTCTGTGGCTGCAGGGGACAATACTAAGAATAATGGTCTCAAACTGCAGTAGAGGAAGTTTAGGTTGGAGATTAGGAAGATCTTTCATCACCATCATAGTTAAACACTAGAACAAATTACCCAAAGATGTAGTGAATCTCCATCCCCAGAAATTTTTAAGACCAGGTGAGACAAGCATTTGACTAGAATGGGTTAGTCAGAGATGATCCTGTCTTGAGTACGGGTCTGGGCTAGATGATCTTCTGATTTCTTCCAGCCCTCCTTTTCTATGATTCTATGCAACTCTGTTACCTGTATATCAAAGCCATCCCAGCCTTTGTTATGGCACTGAACAACTGCAGGGACGTAGGAGCATCCAGCTGAGCCACCAGTGCACTGCAATTGGGGAACTGGAGATGTCCGACGAGAAGTAGTATATTGATCTCTGTAGAGAGTAAGGGCTTGCACCTCCCGCAGCAGAACTCTTCCTGGAAGAAGCGACAAATTAAATTCAGCCATGTAGGCACATTCTGTTTAAAAGCTTCTTATGATTTTAGAATATGTGAAATGTAGGTAGGTAACACAAGCTGCAGGCTAATATGCTTTCAGAACTGGGAAAACTTAAGAAACCAAAGATGCTCACTCCCAACAACAATATGATCAGGGATGCGTGTATCTGATACCTCGGATATGGGCAGATGTTACACCTGAAGTGCTTCAGAAGTGACAGTATCTGTAAGTGCCTCACTAAGGCAATGAAGCACTTCAAAACTGGCCATTCCACCTTAAAAATGACTCCAGAAAAAACAGGAACAACTCACAAACAGCATCACTGTGATGCACTCTGCAGTGTCTGCACTCTTTAGCTGAGTGTAACAGGGCTGGTGGGAATTCCCACTTCCTGCTGTTCTCTATTTGCCATCCCTGAAGGGCACTGAGGAGTCAACTGTATGACTTCAGCTGAACTGCACTGCTCCAGGGTCACAGGACTTGCCTGGCATATGATTTCTGCTCTTTGCTGCCAGGCAAAGGGACATCACACCCTCATTTTGTTGGACACCATCCTACTAAGATCTCCACTGTCATTGGACAGTATCAAGGATGTTTTTGGAGCCTGCCAACACTGGCCTGAATCCAAAATGTCAGTGCTACCCTTTTCCGCTCTGCTTGTGAAGTAATCTACTAACTGGAGGTAGGCAAAGGTAACAGAACTCCTTATCATCTATGGTGACAAGAGCTTCCAGAACTCCCTCTGAACAAGCAACAGGAACCAGGCTGTCTATGAGTGCATCACCTCCAAAACGGCAGCTCAGGACACAACAAGAACCAGCATCAGTGCCACACCAAGGCCTAAGTGCTGGCGGCAGCATGGTACAAGAAAGCCCAAGACACTCAAAGAAGAGTGACCTGTGCCTACTACAAAAGGTAGTCATGGATTCTGGTGGGGAAAGACTCAACAGAGCCCCTGCTTCACTGCTGACTCCACAGGGTCAACCCTGATGCCAACAATGACTCCAAAGGTTCTGATCAGGAAGACCCTCCAGTTCATCCCCCACCACAGCCGAGAAGTAGGCACAGGAAAGTTGGAACAACTTTGGCGAGTCCCTCCTTTTGCTTGGGAACACCAGAAGGTTCATCAGCCATCCAGAGATAACAGCTCCAATGCCATGAACCTGGAGCAGCCTGGCTCAATCCAACCGACTGGGAGAAGGAACCTGCAACATACCTATAGGCTGGGGAACACCCTTCTCAACAACACAGTGGCGGAAAGGGGTCTTGGAGTGATTGCTGACTCCAGGATGGACATGAGCTACCAATACGAGGAAGCTGTCAGGAAGGCCAACCTACAGGTCCAGGGAGGTGTTCCTTCCCCTCTGTAAGGTGCTGGTCAGGCCGCAGTTGGAGTACTGTGTCCAGTTCTGGG